TCTGCAAAATATTTATATAAAAGGTTATATAAAATAAAGTTTTTTTATATAAACGGCATAAAATCTTAATCAATAGTTTTAGTGAATAAAAATTAATTTCTTGTTATGCGTCGAATATAGTGTATATACTTATTTTATAGTTTCAAAAAAAGTTTTTAACATAAACTAATGTTATGTCCTTCAAAAGTTTGTTAAATCTGTCACTTTTCAGTACTTGCAATATTAATATAATTTTAAAACTAAAATATTTATGGAAAGATATTGTTTCTCATGAACTTTAAAGTTTTAACATTTTTGGTAAAATAAATTTGATATATGTCAGCCATAAGATGGCTGCACAATAAGATATATTTAAAATTAAACAGAAAACTATAATTACTCATATCAATTTAACAGACAGCAACTTTTAAAAGTCTACAGAGTTTTTAACACGAACTGTTAAGAGTTAACATAACCTGTACAATTTTATATTTTAATTAATAGGAGGACAAACTTTTGGAAACTAAACTTGTTATTATATGAAAGAAAAAACATATTCTTTATGATTTAAAATTAATTATAATAGATCAATGAGTACCGGTTGTTTAATTGTAATCTAAAAAAAGATTTAATTAAAAAAGTTTTAAAATTTAATAATTAAAGTTGAGATTCTTAAAAATTATTGATTACAAAAAATTTGAACTGTCTTATGCCCTGTTGTAAATTTGCGAATATTCATATATAATGTAATTAATTATAAAGGAAATATAAAAATTTTTGTGAACTTACTTCAAAGTTTAAATTTCCTTTTTCAAAAAATTTTATTGTTAATTAAAATTAAAATCAAAAAGTGTATCTATATCTGCTCATTAAGAATAATGTTTTGTAAATAAGTAAAAATTAAAATGCTGTAAATTAATTTAATAACTTATTATAATCAAAAGATAGGTGACTAATCTTATAAAAATTAAAATTTATATATATATTAGCACACGTATATTAATACATCAACATTTAAGCTTATTAACACAGCATATTAAGCCTTAATTATAAAATTCTTTTTAATATAAAACCGTAATTACTGTTTCTATACATATATATATATATATATAAAACAAATAAATTTTATTAAAATTGCATTAATTTTTAAATAAAATTAAAAAACAAAAAAATGCTTAAAATGTTGAACTTCACAAAAACAGAGAGTGGGAGAAATGAAGAGTGTGTGGCAAAAGAAATGTTATAAAACCACACAAAAAACCGGACATAAATTGGTTTAAAAAAAAAACAGAAAATTAACCTTCACGATTTTTTAAAATTTGAATCAAAACATTAATTATCTAAACGTTTGCAAATTTTTATATAAAGCTATATATACGAACTGGTGCAGTAAAATACAAACGCGCTCATAAAAAGATACAATAAAATGTTTGCTTAATTGGTATTCAAGAACAGTTAGAAATACAAACAAAATATATTGAAATGAAACTTTTTTTTATTTAGAATTTATTATCTTTAAGTAGAAGAAGATATGCAAATGCATTAAAGGCAAACAGGGGCGAAACTGTTAACATACAACGAATGAAACATTTCTGTAATGTGTGACAAAAATGTTAAAATCACTGTAAAAAGAATTTTTATTTTATTTCGCAATCGAAATGATCAGTTTCAATTGCGAAAAAAATAAATACTTTAAATTTTGTGCTAAATAAAATGTTATTAAAATTTTATAACCAATAATATTTGATGTCTGTTTCAAATGTCTGTCTCAGAAACTCCAAAAAAAAGCTATATAAGCATATATCATATTAAGAGTTTTATTAATATTTTTTTGAAGTACCACACTAATTCCATAAAGATAAAAAGTGCATTTGCATTTCTTTCATCTTAATGATTTAGTGTCGTGTTAAGTTTCATAATTGCATGAAATCGAATACTGCAATAAAAGAAATCCAAAGGTCAATCATATATATTTACAAACAATATTTTTATAAAATTCCTTAACTTATCGCGGTTTATCTCTACAAAGATTTAAATACCATCCACAAAACAATTTTCCACCAAATTTTTTTTTTTTTTACTTAAAGCATAATAGAATATAGTAATTAGAGAATTGCAGTTCATATGCAGCTACTGTTTGTAGCCGCTGATTGCGTTTAAAATGCAATTTATGTCATTAACAACGTTTTTTTTTTCATTTAATAATTTTTATTTCTATTTAAATAATTTTAAAAGTCAACAAAATTCAACAACCTAAAAACTCGTTAGAAAAATAACTAAACAAAACAGAGAACCTAAAAACATTTTTAGCCTATGACTCGCATCTCATATATTTCTGTTTGCGTAAAATACATTTATATTTTTTGATTTTAACTGACATAAAAAAATTAATAAAACAAATAAAAACTGTTTAGTAAAAAGGTAAAAAAAGCAGCTAACAAACTGAAAACCCATAAATCTTTGTGCGATATTAATAAGTTTATACGGAGCCAGATGAGCTCTAATATGAGCTCTCTTATGTCTAATATTTCGTAGTAGGCGAAATACTGTTGAAAACGACTTGGCGCATGCGTAGTTTTTATCACCAATGTTGCAAAGCAAGAGCAGATGCAAGAGTCAACCAAATTGGTCACAAATTAACTGATAAAAATCTACAAAATCGTGCTTTTATATGCAAATTTGTAATTCCATGAAGGCGTTTAAATTTTATAAAAACATTAACAATTAAACTGTTTTGAAATTCGTGTATGGAAAGAGTATTAATAATAAAGTTATCGAAAATTATTTTCACTTGGAGGGTCTTTTGATAACCATATATAGAAATTTAAAAACTGTAAATTACTTCACTCGTATATGGAGTAATAATTTATTAATACTTATACCAATGACATAATGGAGTAACTTTAATAAATGTTGTGACATTCGAAAAGAGGCCACTTTTAAAATAGTTGAAGCCACGTTCTTACTGATAGAATTAACTTAATTGATTATTAAGATTCTACCCAACGCATGATTGAGCCACAGTAGCTGACCACAGCAATTCAAGACTGATACTTTAGACCTACATTAACTACTACTAGCTACTGTAGCCTGCGACTGTTGCTTTATGGTGCGTTGGATATGCAAGCGAGAACAAAAATTTCTAAATTAACTTAACTGGTCGTTAGAAATTTATAGTTGAAAAAAAAAATGTCAATTTTAAGTCATGATCCTATAATAAAAATGTCTCTTGGCAAATATTGTACTTCACTGGTGAATTGAACTCATGTTAGTTACAAAATTGAACCATCAATTCTGCATCTAATCAGTATTCAACTTGAAAATGTATATTTCAAAAAAGATAAAATGTATTGAAAATGTATATTTAAAAAAAAGATACGTAAAAAACCATCTAGAAAGCGTGAAAAATCAAAAAGTGCTAGCTAACAACACCAAAAATGCGGAGATAAAATATGCAAAACCAGAAAACAATAACACAATTTATTTTCTTAGTTATAGAATTATAGGATTAAGATTTTTTATAAGATTTATGAAAAAGCATATTTGTGGGATGCATAAAATACATTTTCTATATTCCCAAGTTTATTATACAAATTATTTGAGAGAATTTGATGTAGCTGGTATATAAGTTGGTTAATAAGTAAGTGAATCGTACACATAAGTTAACAGAACAATATATTTATAGAGATAAAACTAGTTAAAGAATGGAGTAAAACTTTTCAATAAGATGAGTATAGTATCTTACTATTGTGTCTTTTAGTACTATCTTTAATAACATAAGTGTAAACCATCTTAGATTTTATTAATTTCATTTCCTAATTTTCTTTAGTTTTCTTCATCATTACACTACTCAACCAACTTCTGCAAATTAGGTTATAAGTAGAATTCTTACTGAAAAAGGGATCAACTGTTGATCTAATAATTATTGAAACTTATTCGAATATAACTGAACATATTTTTTAATGCAATATATATTTTTTAATCAGTTATAATGGATTGTGTTCAAAAGGCGACTTAACCTCAAAAGTGTTATTCGGTCTCCGGAAAATTAAATTAATAGTTCTTAACTATTTTGAAGAGAAAGAAAATTTTAAGAACTTGTCATATAAAACTTAAGATTTAATTATTATTTTACTGACAAAAAGTATTATATATAATTTTAAATAATTTAAAAATTTGCGCCTATATATCTGTTGTTTTGTATTTGAAAGATTTTACTAATATATTCTAAGAAAATATAATTCAAATTAAAAATCGAATATTTATCAAATAAATCAAGATAAATATTTCATTGGTGAGGAAATATGCTATTATGGTTAATTCTAGTAACGGACTGAAAAAGATAAGAACGAGCTATATATCCCGAAAATGCCGCGAAGTTGTGGTTTTTAAAAATATATTGTAATTCTGATTTTAATAATTTAAGATCAATTTTTCATGTGAAATACTTTCAGTATTATACTATATTATGAATAGTATAATACTATATTATGAATAGTATAATATCATTTCATCTAATAAACGTGATTATTCATATAAATTAAACAAAATAAAAACAAAACTATATATACTGCTTTTGTTTTATTTTATGTTTAATATTTCATTAAATTAATATATTTTAATTTAAATATAATTTATCTAAGAATAATCTTGAAGAATTCTTTTTAAAGAATATAATATTTATTCAAAATGAAATATATTATTTTGAGTTCAATTCTACTTATTATTTTCATATTAATTCTTATTAGTGCTCACTTTTAAAGTATCTATTAAGACTGAATATTTACATAAGGTAAATAATCAAATAAGAAATCTATCTTCAAACTTTTGTTGATGTTATTTTAATTAATATAATTTATTTTTTTAAAAAATATATCAATTTTTGTGTTGTCACTTGTTTTCCAATATCTATACTTATATCATTTAATTTTTTTTTAAATTTACTTTTTATATGTATCATATTACTTTACATAATTATTACATATACTCGTATTTAATATTTGTAAACAATAGACACTCACCATGCAAAGAACTGCACGCGCCATTTTAGCAAATTACAAATAATTAAACTAGACACACGGAATCGCAGTATATTTTTATATTTCTAAAAGTTCTATTTTAAAATCTTGAAAAAATAAGAAAAAATAAAAAAAATTATTAATATTAAAAAGAAAAAAAATTACGCAAATCCAATTATTAAATTAAACACTTCTTAACACAGTTTTTTCAAATAATTTATATATATTTCAATTAAAGTTCTTTGTTCCATTAAAATCACAATAAAATAATCCAGTAGTGTTTTTAGATAATTTTTTGGGTATAACTCCTTTAATCCTTTGGTTTTACAACACAAATGTTCTTTGGTAAAATTTTTTTAAATTTAAGTTAATTAAAATTAATGTTAAATTTTAATAAATAAATAAAATAAATATAAATTACAGTTTAAAATATTTTAACTTAAGACCGTACCGTTGGGACCGATCTGTGAGAACTGAAGATGATCCGCACAAAACTTTGCAATATAAACAAGACAAACTGGCAAAATGCGAAATAAGATCGAAATTTTCAAAAGCAGACGAGACACGAATCTTGATTTCAGAGTTCGTGACTTTGATCGACACACCGCAGCAACGTGTGTCGAAGAGCATCTTTGGCGCAGCTTAAACTTTTCGATCTACACATATATGTATGTGTGTGTGTGTGGAGCTAGTGAGGTGCGTGTTAGCCAGAAGATGTTACAACTACATTAAGAAGATGTGAAACAAGTTTATGGCAAATCAGTTAACCGGTGATAAGCAATAAGCAAGTGAGTGCAGAATTAAGCAGTTAAAACGCTGACGCACTTCGCCTCTCTTACTCACCGTTGTTCAACACTGAACGATCAACGCCAACATAAGCTTCAACTCTTAACTTCTTTCCAATTGTGCTGTGCCTCTTCCAAATGCGAAAATCGAGAAAAACAAAAACAAAAATGAATGCGTATTTTGTTTCCGTTATAGCTGCTCTGCGAGGTGTCAGCTTGCGTTAGCTGAAGCCACCCTTATTTCCGCTTTGGTGTTAGTGTGCGCGTGTGTGTTTCGCAGCCATTTTGAAAAATGATTTGTTTTCGATTAACTAAAATTTATATTCGATTTTTAATTTGCATTTAATTTTAGAATTTATGTATGCTCGAAACCTGTCCCCCAAATATTTTTTAAGTTCTTCTTCTTGCTGCTATTAAAAAATTTTCATATTGTCTGGTTTTATTTGGAAATTCAAGTTTTTCCTGTTGTCACAAAAACTACTAAAATATTTTAGCTTTTAATTCTTAAGCGAAGGTAGCCATCTTTTCTTCCACTCTTCGAGTTTTTAGATTTCTGATTTTGTTCAAATTTTAAATTTTAAATATAAAAATTGAATATTTATTTATGAAAAAATTTTAATTTTACTATTTGAAACTTTTTTATGAATTAGCAATATTATTTCCGCAAAAAACTTTTTTGTTATTATTTTAATTAAGAAACATGTTATGTGTTGCATGACATTAAAATTAAATAATTAAGCTTTTGTATTTAATTTAATTTAAAAAAGTAGAAAGAAACAAAAAAAACAATAATTCTTTATTGTAGTTGTTTTTGTAGAGTTGTTATTGTGTTTTAAAAATATACGAAGCTTAACAGTTAGTTTTAAATTAATATTTGCGTCAAGTTAATTAAAAGTTCTCAAACTCAGGATTATTAAAATCTAGTTTTAGTTAAAGTGAGAATCAACATTAATTTAGTTTCTTAAGCTCAAAAATTTTTAGATAACACATCTAAATATAACTATAGTTACATAATACAATACTTGTGTGTTTAGTTCTCTAGAATTTTTCAAATTTTATGCACAGATACATTTAAAGTTAACAAAAAATAAGATATGAAATCAAAATCAAAATCTACATCTACTTTTTGAATGTAGGAGTATGCAATTTTTATTAAAAACAGTTGCAAATTCTTTTCACGTTCATGAATTATGACTTAAAAAATATTACAAGGACACCAACTGAACTAATTCTAGTTTCGGAATATTTATATAATTAGCTAATTAGACTAATTGATACATGTTTATTAATATGAAATTTGGTTTTCAAATAATTTGAAAATATGTTAAAATCATTATATATTTAAGACGCAGAAAAGAAAGACAAATTTTATTTAAATAATCAATTCCTAATGCAGTAAGCATTGAAGTTATTTTATTTTGAAAAATTTGGGGCTTATAGAAGATATACTAATTTGAAACAAAATTTTAGCAGAACTTTTGCAATCCAATTAAATTAAATTAATAATATTGAAATTATATATAAATGACATTTTTCAAATTCTGAAATTTACAAATTTTACATGATTTCAGCGGATGCACAGCCATTCTTCCTATTAGACAAAAGTCACTGATTGTCATTCACTTTAAAATGGTCAGTAATGATATTTGTTATAGCGGCGTAAGCAGCTCACAAATTTGCCCACTTTGTCCAAGGTAATCCCTAGATAGCTCTTATATACCCGTTCAAGTCCACGTTAGTTGTGAGAAAACATAGTACTTTGTACTCATCACCCTTCGAACAAATTTTCTGCTGTCATATATAACATTGAATCAAACCGATATGAAACTTACTTATAAAAGTGGAACAGAGGAAGACGTTAACCAATAAGGCTAGTAATGCCCTTTTAAATCTAACTCTCTCCATTAGCATATATAAAATATAATACCTCAATGCGAAGCTAACAAGTAAAAGCAGAGCAGGGAAGAATATTATTATCAGAATCAATAAGTCTACCGGTGCTTTTATTCAACTTAAAAATATATGAAACTTTGATAATCTACACATCTCTAAAAAATGTCACATAGTCAATAATAATAAAAAGACAGTTTTTTTTTTATGGAAATAAAATATAGAAGATATTTGGACTGCAATCCAATCCAAAATTCAGACTTTTATAAACCAATGTCTACCAAAAATATTGCGCATCTGGTGTCCCCAATGAATATTCAATATACAGTTTTAATCATCCTTTTTCTTCCAATGCAAAGTTGTTAACAATATATAATTATTTAAATAGTTTTATTTTTCAATTCTTATGTATGATTCATGTAAGACTATCTTTCTATTAAATAAAATCTTTTTCTCCTCCTCTTGCTCCTGCAATAATAATTTCCATGGGTATTTTTAGGTCAATTCTCAGTTGCAATTGAGACGTTACTGTATGCTGTATAAAATATTACCAAATGAGGAAAAAAGAAAAAACTTTTACTTTCGAAAAATATGATTATTTATCAATAACTCATCTTTTTTTAAATATTTTTGAAAACAATTTTATCATTTTTGTAAGTTATTTTACTTACAAATAAATTTAAATTAATTTAAATAAAATGCTTCAAATATTATAATATTCAAGCATAGGTATATTGTTTTTGATTTTTTTAATTAATTTTTTATCATTGACTATTTTTATGAATCTTAATTTCTTTTCTATTATAAATCAATTCCCACATATTTGCAAAAAATTTATAATTTGCGAACTCTTATTATTAATTTAATAGTGTTAAAATTTAATTATATGTATTTTTTCTCGATGTTGCAAATTTTTAATTAAAAATAAAAAATTAATAGCATTTAGCCTTTTAATCTTAATTGATTTGCTCTTCAGCGGAATTAAAACTTCGAATCAATTTATTGAAAAACTTAACATTTCCATACTGTGTAATAAGTAATTTTTCTCAAAAGGTTCATTTCTGATTGATATTTTGTCAAGACTCTTCAATCAACAGATAACAAAATAATGTAAAAATATTAAAAGATTTATTGTATTCAGCCAGATTAACTCATAAAGAATCATTGCCCGTTGATCCTTTATACCAAGGCATTGAGCTGTCATTAAGAATATGGCCACACTCTGCTCCAAGTTGATTTTGAGTGACCTTTTAGGTCGGTTTTTGCTGCTCAGATTTTTTGTGTTACACAAAGATTTTCATGACAGGCTTCGATTAGTGAATTTAGCATCTAGTGAGAATAGTAGGCTGCATTAACCAGAGTTTTAGCAGATAATTTGCTATTCTTTATTAGTTTGAGTGGATTGTGGAGAGATTGTAGCTCTTTATATGCATTTTTCAAATGAATAACTCATCTTTACTAAAACACGTCTTGTTTTATATATGTACGCAGGAAAACAAGAGTATTAAAAAGTATTCTAAAAGAAATATATCTAATATTTGCTATTATTTACTTTATGCCCATTATTTAAAAATTTCTAATCTATTCTATAGACAGTTTCAATAAAATATTTATTACATTTTAAACATATTTATTAGATAAAAATTATATTAGTAAATTTTTAAGCACACCGAGTATCGAAGGATATGTATATTTTACTATATTTATTACATATTGCTCATAATGATTATAATAATTTTTGTTTTATTTTTTTATATATTCTTATTTTAATATTTCTTCGAATTTAAAAATATATTTCAATTTAAATATAGTTTGAATATTTTGTCACACCTTGTTTTACTAAACCGGGCCATGTTTCAAATAAACATAAATATATCTTATTAATTCTGTGCAAGATATTTTTACTTTTCTCTAATAGGTAATTTATTTGTTAGGTCGTTTGTTATATTGAAATCCAAATGGCACGTTTCTTTGTGGTTAGAAGATCAAATGGATGTTATGTTAAATACGTGACTTCATATGTCATTATTTATTCTGTATTTGTGAACTGCAAATAAATTAGATTGCTTAAAAGTTTGACGTCAGCAAATTAATTTTTTCCTAAAGTTTATATAAACTTTATGTAAACTGCTCAATTTACTAAAGGGTACAAAACGTTTATAATATAACGTTTCTTCATTTATAATAATACATGAACTTGGAATGATTCTGCATCACTTTATAGTCCTTTTTCAACTTTTCGTACATTCTTATCTACTATATTATTAGTTTGACACCATGGCAAATGATAACAGACATCTTGTTTAAGGCATTAGTATATAAAATATGGAAATAATTAAAACTCAGTGATAATAAAAGGTGAAGGAAATTAATAAATTAAAAAAAATTTTATTCCATTAAATTTCTATATAAATAACAATTATAATGTAA